GGGCTGGCGCTCAGGGCCTGGTTCGCACGGGAGATCTTTTCCTTGGGGTGGGGGGACCCCAAGCTTTTTAGGAAAGCAAACATGTGGTGAAAGGAATAGCCCCTCTTGGCTATGAGCAAGTCTACCTGAGTGAGGGAGCCTGCCTGGGTGAGGGTCTCCTTCTGTCTTTGTGATCCTTGAACGAGGGTGGGACGGGAGGCCGGAGGGCCCCCTGAGGGGAGGTGGCAGCACTCCCGTCCCTTCCAAGATCTCCTCCCTGACCCTCTCCTCCTCTTTAAGGAAGGAGCCCCTCCCCAATCCAGAGCTGCAGATCTCCAGGCAGTTGCAGACCATCAGCCTCCTTCAGCCCCGATGCAGCCTGTGCCGAAGAGGGGGACCTGGTGGCGTGGGTCCAGCCAGGTTGGAAGTCACCAGGGATGAGGAGAATTTGGAACCCAGATCTTGCGCACCAGGCCCACGCGTCCTGCTGAGGGTCTCAAAGTCCAAGTGCCAGCCGGCTGCTTTGTCTTTGGGGAAGACGTCCTCCCATCTCCAGTTCACATGGGCGGCACAATTAGCCCCGACAGGCCTGGAAAACAGGAGGGCTGCGTCAAGCCCGGCCTCAACAATGAAGACCCCACGGAACCCCTGCTCTGGAGATACGCCGAGCTTCACGTGCCCAGCATGCAACCGCCCCGAGTGCACCACCGGCTTTGCATGGGCAACATATGCTCACCCAGGTCCTGTAGATTTTTTAAACCTTGACTTAACTGAGGTGCGTGCAGGTAACTTTTTGCACAGAGGAACGTCCCTTACGCAGGCCTCCAACGGCATGTCAAGCTGGCTTCCTGTGTCCGACTCCCAAGCCAAAAGTCGAGAACTTTCCCATTTTTGCTGCACCTGCGCCCCAATTGCTAGAAACATGGCAATGACTCTTCTTGGCCAGCTGGCAGGCTGGTGGAGGCAACCAGCCGACCAAGAGGCTGCAATGTCAGGCAGGTCTGCAGGGTGTGGTCCAGAAAGCCAAGATGGCGGCCGTGACAGTGCGATGCACCTAAAAACTTGGTGGAGCCTTGATTGCCCTGTCGCGGCTGCCATCTTGACTTTCTGGACCACGCCCTGCAGTTGCTCCTGGTGGCGTGCATCCTTGTGGGGCTTCGGCAAGATCAAACCTAAGTCAGACTTCCCGACCAGGCATTGGCCAAACGATCTGGATTTCAATTCCCAGAATTCCCAGCTAAGCCTGACCGTAAGCTGGTCCCTCTGGAAGGTGAGGCTCAATCTGGCTGGAGGACATCAGCTGGGCAAGGCTGATAGGTCAAGGAGACAAGAAGACTTTTCTGAATTGGCTTTAAATCTCTGACATTTGATCTTTGTAGCTGTTGCTTTTAAATGTGCCCACTGTCTAAAGGAGGTTTTCGGCCCAGAGAAGCATATATAAATATGCCCACCTAGGAAATATATGAGTCATGCCCCAAATTGATAAATGCATGCATATTTACATCCACCTATCCATCTCCCCCCGTCTCCCCACCACGTTTGCTTTCATTCTGGTGGACGAGGCAAGTCCTTAGGAGGCTGTTATGGAGGAGTGGCACTGATTCAAGGTGAGAGGAGCGGAGAAAAGAGAAAGCTAGGAGGCCAGGCAGCAGGAGGAGAGAAGGAACATACTGTGATTAAGAATAAGCCAATCCTTGGAGTGACCGAGACGGTGTTTGAAACTTGTCTGCAGAATCCTCAAAGGGTTGGTCTGGTTGATGGGATCAAGGGAAGGAAGGAAGGAAGGAAGGAAGGAAGGAAGGAAGGAAGGAAGGAAGGAAGGAAGGAAGGAAGGAAGGAAGGAAGGAA